TCTGTCTGTGCTAGAACTCTGATGTGCTCAGAAGGAGTAAGGGGCTTCTAGGAGCTCTAAGAAAGAAAAGACAACAAATGAAGGATGAGGTGGGCAACAGGGTGGAGAGCGGGAGTTGGGGGCAGTGCTTAAAGATGGAGCAGCTTACATCTGCCAGGGCTGCTCACTTCAGCCACTGAAGCATTAACAGGTGACTTGCCTGGAGTGGTTCTCTGCGCAACAGGCACCCATGGGGTCATTACTCTTCATGACATCCCCATGAGGCCAGAATTCTACAGGCCCCACCCTGTACCTTACTAAGCTGCTGCTTCTCGCAGCCTCAGTTTCCCCATCCTGAAGGTATAGCATGAAGATAAATGAGGAATGTGTATGAAAGGGTACGGAGGCCTCCCAGGAGTCTTCCAAACCCTAGACAGCTCAAGTCGCCCAACTTGTGACTTATTTTATTGTGAATCTCCTTATCTTCTTCCAGTCCACGGGAGACTTGGATAGAAAACTAATACAAACACACTGGCTCTTCTAAACACTGCACCCTTTACAGCTTTCCTTTCATCTCATTAAAGGAAGCCATAAAATAAAAAAGATGGAGATACTGGGGGCCTCATTTTATATACTTTATCCACCCAATATTCTCATAGACACCAGGTGAGGAAGGCACCACTATCCCCATTTTACAGATGAGGATGTTGAGGCCCCAGTTCAGCTCATTCAGCTCACAGCAGGGGCTGGGACTGGAAGCCTGCTCCACTCTGGCTCAGAATATTGTCACTTTCCTTTCTCTCAGTTGCAAACATGAGTTTTAGTCCTCCCTCTTAGACCTCCATCCAGTGCCTTAGTGGGTTTTGTAACCGGAATAGAACTACTTAAGGCACAACCTGGGCCAAGTGTGGTTGTTTTATGACAATACATCTCCTCAGGTAGTCTCAGGAAATGTTTTTCTTGCCCTAAAATTAGGGAGTTTAGGCACCAGACAGGTTCCTTGTACAAGTTGAGGAGACGGGGGAACACGCATGTGAACGCCCCACATTTCTTGGCCCTGGTGCTCCTGGCTGCTTTGGATGTGGCTAATTCCCCGGGCGTCCTCTGTAATTCCACAGTAATGTGGCTTTAATTGTCCCCAGAGCAGGCCATTCTTCCTTTATTGTGCAGTAAATTTCCCTCCAGAGTTCAGATATCATGCACCTGCCCCAGCCAGGGAGCCAGCCAGCCTCAGGGGGAGGCACTGCTGTCCTTGCCCCCCGGCCGCTGGTCCTGGCCAGAGTGGCCCCTTCTCATCCCTCCGTCTCTCCCTCAGCCTGGAGCTGTGGATGTCCCTGGGGCAGATGCTAGGCCAGGGGGAGGGGCACACTGGAGGAGGCAGGGACACTAGTCTGTGGTTCTGTCTGGAAAACAAATTAACTTGACAAATGCAAACAAGCTGCAACAGTGGGGTTTATGAGGCTGGAATCAGGACAGCTTCCTCCAGTGGTTCATCTGTAAACATCAGCAAATGCCACCAAGGCGGGGGAACAACGAGGTGCTAAGAGGGAACTCTGGGGCTCTTTCTTACCTGCCACCTGTGCGGCCTGGGCCAGTCACATGATCTTGCCCAGCTCCTCTTTGGCCCTCAGTGAAAGAAGAGTAATCACAAGCTCCCTGTTATCAGATGAGATAAGGCTCATAAATCACTTTGCCCAGAACACCCTCTGGAAGCCTCAGCTGCAGCTTCATTATTAATTGTAGATAGAGAAGGTGATCCCAATCTCTTGTCATAGGCCACCATGTGCACTTGACTCTGGGTGTCTCTGGTAACCTCTGTCCCTCAGCTTCCTTATCTAGGAATGAGGACAATAATGATGGCCACCTGTCAACAGTGGCTGATGCCAGGAAACAGCAGCTGAAGTTACTACTGTCACTCCTGACCCACAGTTCCAGGCATCCATGGCAGATCTACTAGAGGCCAGAGACTCAGGCTAACATGGTTGAGTTCACCATGGGGAGACAGATGTAAAAGCAGATGCCAGTGGACTCAGGACCTCAACCAGGGGATGTCACAAACAGGAGTCACTCAGGGTAGACCCTTGGCCTCTGCAGGCCTCAGTCCCTGAGGAAGCAAAGCCAGCCCGTCTCTAAGGAATCTCCCAGTTTAAGATGCAACTGTGCTAGCACCGGCCTGGCATGGTTTGTCCCATACCCATAATTTTTTTTTTTTTTTTCGTGACCGGTAAGGGGATAGCAACCCTTGGCTTGGTGTCGCCTGCACCGCGCTCAGCCAGTGAGCGCACTGGCCATCCCTATATAGGATCCGAACCCACAGTGGGAGCGTCGCTGCATTCCCAGTGCCGTGCTCTGCTGAGTGAGCCATGGGGTCAACCCCCATACCCATAATTTTAAAAGCTTCCCACTGTGACAACCTCTCCTTTCCAGAACACAGTCAAGAACAACTCAGAGGGAAAAATCTCTCTGAGCAGCCAAAATAGTTGTCACTAGAAGGGCGATTTCCTCAGACTGTCTTTTCCTCTTTGTGTGCATGGAATTCTGACACAGCAATAAGGGGAGCCCCAATCTGACAGTGAAGACAGAAGAGGCCAGGTAGGAACCACAAAGAGCACAGCAGGGAGGGGCAGGCTCCCCAACACGCCTCAGTGCTCCTCTGTTGCAGGAAAATAAGATGACTGATATTTGCGGAGTGGTGGAGCTGATGGAGTCCTCAGAGAGGATGAAAACACACCCCTGTGAGCTTCCAGGGGATCTCCTCCCTGCCTTGAGGCTCAGGCCTGTCCACCTTCCCCGCACTGCCCAGCCATGCCTCTGGCTTCTTTCCTTTCCTTACCCTGCCACCATCCTGGTCACAACAGCACCACTTGAACAGACAAGTCAAGGCCCTGGATCCTGGGATCTGGCACCCCTTCATCACCATGATCTTCTCTCTCTTCCACTCCCATCCAAACTGTCAGCCCTTCCGGACAAAGTGCACCCCAGCGAAGATGGACACTCCCGTAAATCCATGGCCATCTGCCTCCCCAGACAGCCATGCCTCACCCCTTCATTGCCTCCACATCTCAGCTCAGCTGTCCCTTCTCAGCGGGGCCTGCCCTGACCACTCTACTTAAAACCCCAACGACCCACCCCACCCCCACTTTCATTCTCTCCATAGCACATTTCATCTTAAAGCATACACATTGATTTACATATTGATTTTATTATGTCATCTAATAGCAGACATGTACTTTACACACTGATTTTATTACATCAACTTATAGCATCCACATACCTTACATACTGATTTGTTTACTATGTCCCCATCTGGAAAGTAAGCTCCATGAGGGCAGATATCTTCATCTTGTTTTCTTTTGTTCACTGACGTGACTCCAGGGATTGGAACAGGGCCTGGAACAGGGCCTGGAGCATTGTAGGTGCACAGTAATATCCTCCAAATCCATGAATGAAAGACTTCATCCTTAAGACTTGTCAACTCTCTCCCACTCCCTGGGACAACTCCCTATTCAACCTTCCGGCCCTCTTAAAACCTCCACCCCCACCATCTCCACACTGGAAAAGCCCTCACCTCCTATTCTCAGGGGAAGCAGAAGCTGTTAGAAAGAACTGCTACAATCTGCTGCCAACCACCCAAGGCCACCTTCACTGGGGCCTACACCCTCCTCCTCCCCTCTGTTTAGGTTAGAGCCAGTCCCCAACTGTGTTTTGGACCCATCAAACCCCCTTTGGCCTCTTCAGGAAGCGTGAACTATCACCTCTCCTCCTCTCTCACATAGCCTCTCCCATTTCCTCCTTTTTATCCTAACTCATCCTACCGGTGGTTCTCTGCTCCAATGGCTCCCATCTCCACGCCCCTCCACCCTCGCCTCTCCTCACCTGCCCCGCTCAGCTTCCTCTGCCTCCCTCCCACTCACTCTCCATCCAATCCACTCTGCCCTCTTTGCCCCCATGCTCCCACCAGAACACCCGGAAAAGGCTACCTACATCTGCTATATTGCAAACCCAGTTGACATGTTCATCTCTCTCATTAGACCCCTCAGCAGTTTCCACGGTATTGGCCTGTCTCTCTGCGTCCTCTTTCCCTCTGATTTTCCTAGCAGTGCATGTGCCTGGTTTTTCTCCTATGCAATGACTCCCTTCCATACTTGCCTGTCTCTACCTCTTAATTAGAGCTGGAGTTCTTCCTGGAGAAGTTCGGCCTTGTCTCCTCTCACTCAACTATCTCCCTTGGTAATCTCACCCAATCCCATTATTATCTTCTAGGGGAGATATGACTCCCAAATTTCTGACTGCTTACCCCACATGTCGGATTGCTCAAATGCACTTCAAACTTAATGTGGTCCAAGATCAAAATCATGATAGTCCCTCCCAAATCCAGTTTACTTCTAAGAAATGATGGTTTCATCTCCCCACATGGGCAAGCTGGAAATCTAAGAGTCACCTTTGTCTCCTCCCACTCCCTAGACCCATTATCCAGCACCAAGTCCTGTCTACTTTTAATTCCCAATTCTCTCCCAAATCTCTCTACTTCTTTCCCTAGTCCAAGTCACCCTCATCCTTGACTGGCACAGGGGTCACATATTTGGGCTTAACACCTGCCTGAGGGCTTGCTGATGGTTACAAATTCTCAGGAGAGACCATCTTCTCCCTGCAGTGTGAATTTCAAACAGGCTAGTCTGCCCACTCTCCCCTTCTGCATGGCAGTTTTATTTCTCATGGGCAGGTATAGTCGAAACTATAGTCCTTTAGCATCTGAGGTTCCTGTGGCTACCTTTTGTTAGACTTCCTTCCGTGGGTAAGCCCTGCCTTTAACTCTGGTTTCCTGAGTCCCACGGAAGTCCAAGGTCGTAAGGCTTTGGCATACACCCTCACCTGCAAAGCCATCTCTGGTACCTGCTCACCTGCATCAACTCTGCTTTCATCTGGAGACCTCAACAGATGGCAGCTCAATGGTGTGTTTCTTATTTCAAGTTTGTGTTTTTGTTTATTTAAAAAATATTTTCTCCTGTACTTTGTTTCAGTTGTTTTCAGAGGCAGGGCATCCATCCCGCCACACTGACAGAAGCTGGAGTGCAGAGACAGAGCTGGAGGTGACGCACTTCCCGCCCCAGAGCTCCTGCTCTGCATTATGGTCTGCGAGATGACTCGGAGCATGTACAGCCCACACTGCCGCACAGAGTATCTCAATACCACGCAGCTCTCCTAGGCCGCCTGCTAACTGGTGTGAGCATGCTGGGTTCAACTCCCCTAATGTGGCCGGCGCTTATCGAACTGCAGGTAACACCCCAGCAGTGGGTCATGAAATTAGTTTAGTGGATGTGGACAGCATTAAAAAGTAGAAGCAAACTGAAAGTATTCAAGGTGGACCACATCTAGTAAGGGTTCGTGAAACCTTCATTTTGAATGGATAGATGAATGTAGATGGATGAATGGATGGGTGAGTAGACAGATACACATAGTAGGTCATGATTCATAATGATAAATATATTTTTACCGTGGGTCACAGTCCAAAAATGTTTAATTAAAATTCCACTGCATGTAGTTTGGTCCTTGAGGATGAGGGCCATGTTTTATTTCTCAAGGGATTAAAAACATGCTGGGCTCATAGGAGGCTCTTGGCAAACACGGAGAGACAATGGACTAACTGGATTTCTAGAGATAGTGAGGGAATCATTGGGAAGCTGAAGTCCTGAGTAGGGAGCACAGACTCCTTCTCTTGAAAGTGAAGCCTGTTAGGTCCCAGTCGGCTCCTTCCCTCGACCTGGCCAGGTGAAGGCACAGAGTCTGTCCTTTCAACAACCTCCCCTCCAGTGCTGAGGCCGGGGTTTCCTTGGTGTGCTGCCTCGAGAGGGGGCTGAGAGATGTGGGGACAGGTGCCGGGACTGAAGGATTCCTCTGCCCTCATTTTGACTACTCTCCACCTGGCATCAGGCCTGGATCCTGCTGACTCCTTCCCCCTGCCCCAACTCCACTGCCCTGTCGCCGGGCCTGAAGCCCTGCATTTATCAGGGCCCTCATCTGATCAGAAAGCTGCCTTGGCTCCACAAACCTAAAGGACATGTCTACCTTCCTCAGTGTGGCATTTGAGCCACCCACCCCACCTTCCCAATCGCTGTGCTGGCGTCACCTCCATGACCTCTGCACTGAAGACTGCTCTAGCACTGCCCACCTATCCACTTTCCCCTGAAGAACCCCTTGACTAAACCTCCTCCTCTATAGCATCCACAGACTGGCACAGAGTTGCCTTCCCAACCTCCTCCACCATATGCCAGGCCCCAAAATGATAATATTTGAACAGCTCACTCAGGTACACCTGAGGGGACTTGAGTCCAGGACAAACGTGCTCACTGCTGGGGACCCCAGCCACCCAGGCCCAGCTCTGAGGGCTGTGGGAACTGGTGACTAAGAGCACAGCTTGTGGAAAGTTTAGACCTAGAGAGGTTCTGGCCAACCCCAAGGCCCTCTTCAAGCCCCGTCTTCAGACCATAGGTCCCAAGTTCCTTCTCCCCAAAGCTCTGACTGCCTGTCTCTTGCCTAACACAGCTGCCTCGTCTCCCTGTCTGACCCCCTTCCCAGCCCCATCATGGCCTTGCCCGATAAGTAGGTGTAGATGGATTGACTGACTGACAGGGAGGAGATGCCCCAGCCCAGGTGGGAGTGAGGGTCCATCTGGCCTCTGTCCCCTGCCCACACAGGGCCCTTGGTGACAATGTGCTGAAGGAGAGTGATGGGCTGAGGTCAGGGAGAGGCAGCGCCCAGGTCCAGCCACTGAGCCCTGCAGGACAGCAGCCTCCTGGAAGCAGCTCATTCTTGTCCTCCTTCCGAGCCAGCTCTGGCTGAGGACAGAGCCTGAGAAAATTGCAGACATGTGCTTCGGGGAGACCAACCCCCCATCTCGCCTCTGCTACCCCATTACAAGGTCTATTTGACCTTCCTAGGCCTGGGGCAGTATCTTGTCACTAAAATTTATGCAGATGAAATAATGAGCAATTTGGGGAAAGGAATGAAATGCTGAGCAGTGATCCAAACCACCCCAGACACCCGCCTGGAGGGGTTTTCAAGTTGAGCAATCATTTTAAAGACGATTTAAAGTCACTAGCTGGGGGGAAAAAAAGAAGTACACTGGGACTCATGCAAACCAGCAGGCCCTGTGGCTTCAGCTCACCTCATGGTGGGGAGCAGGGGAGGCTGTGCTGGGGAGGGGTGGGGATGCATCTGGATGCTCCTTGTGCTCCATGACTGGGCTGCTGTGACTCAGCGGAGCCTGCCCTGAACTCCTACAGGAACGTGGCCCCTGACCTGGGCATTGGGAAACACCTACCTCATTCCTGAAATCAGACATAGGGAAAATGCCAGGCCTAGCAGGGAAGGTTGGAAACCAAATCTTACTAGTAGAGACATGCCTGCCCCAAGGATAGGGTGCTGTATGCAGTTGTTCATTCATTCATTCATTCATTCATTTATCCTGCAAATCTTCACTGAGTGTCGACCATGTGGCAGTTCTGCTGTAGGTGCTGTGGATAGGTAGCAAACAAATATTCACTCAGCAAACATTCACTGCCCACTGGCTTCATATCATAACTGACCTCAGAGGGGGTGTGGGGTGGGTGTGGAAGACTTAAAATAGCAGGAAACACTCTCTCTGGCCTCTAGGAGGTTATGATATGCTAGTGTTGGGGTCAGGGACAAAGCATGAACAAAACTCAAATTCCAGGCACTGATGATGTGAGAAAAACACAAAAATCATTTCTAGTGGGACCATCAGAGAAATATCCATTGGAGATGACATCTGAGCTAGGCCTGGAAGAACAGATAGGAGCTGGGCATGTGCAAGAGAGGGAAAATAATGAAATTCCAGGCAGAGAACATGGCAAAGGAAAAATGTAGAGCCTGATGAATAACGGACACTGAGCCTCTGTCTCAGGGCAGAGGATGAGCCTCAGGGGGTGTCACTTTATTTTCTCACCCTCTATGCACGCTCCTTTTTGTAGCCTAAAGAAACAGGGACTGACCCTGATGTCAAGTGAGGAGGAGGGAGAGGAGGAAGAAGGGAGGAGGGAAGGAGAGGGAGATGGGCCCAATTATGTAGAGCCTTAAATTCTGTAAGGCGTGCGGCGGGAGGAGAGGTGAAGGCTTGGCCTCTGGTTCTCCTGTTCTCTCCCTCTCTCCCCAGTGTGTGTTCCCAGTTCGCAAGACTAGGGCAGGACAGGGGACCTTTTAAGAATCAGTTCCTTTTTATAAAAAATTTAAAAATGAAGAAAAAAACAAGTATATATAATGTCACAACTTGATCAAGCTGGGAGGTGGGCACATAGGCTTTCACGACACTGCTCTTTAGGTAACTATGTCATTATCCTCTATTCTTAATGATTTCAGAATAAAATGAAAGGTTCAGTTTGGTTTGGTTTTCTAAAGACTGAAGTATGCAGGAGAGCATTCATTCTGCTGACTCCAGCTGCTAGCCTGCAGCTGGAAAGTTTCCTGCCCACTCCTGTTCAGGGAAAGTGGTGCCTTCCATGGGCAGCGACTCAGCTTCCCCTCAGTGGAGACTCTAGGAAGATTCCAGAAAGCAGCATGAGTCAGAGCACCAGGAGGATGTGAGGAAATGGCCTCAGAGTGTCCCAGGAGGGAGCAAGGAGGACAGGTGTCACATGCACTTGCGTGGGTGTGTGCACACAGATGCCACTGGGCTGGATGTGTTCATGCTTTCCTCTGGGTTCAGTCAACAGGTTAGAGCAGGAGCTCAGGGAGTTATTGATGAACCCAGGCCTGGAACTCGGGTCTCCTAAATGCCAGTCCAATGCCCTGTAAACTGTGGAAGCCAAATCAGGTTTCAGAGGATGAGCTTTCAGGGCAAGGACTCCACAGTGCATGCTCCAGGGAGCTCCAGAACTTCAATCTGTAGATGAGACAATGGCTCCAGAAGAAGTAAGAGCCCAGTCCCTGCAAAAGATCAGACTCCTCATGCACCTTCTGAACCCAATAGTGCTGGGTTGTTGTTACAATGCAGGAGAAAGTCAACATGTGCCCAGAAGCATGAGACTTGAGCTAACCCTCTGCTTCAGGGGTCGGGAGAGTCTGATGGCCAAAAAAAACTAAATAGTTGGTCCCTGAGAGTGGCTAATGAACTACCACTGGGAACAGGGGACAAGACAAGTCTTCTAAGAATAGGGGGCAGGATGTGGGAAAGACTCAGAGACCAGGAGAAGCTGTGCACGAGAACAACGTTGGTACAGTGGAGCTGGCGGGAAGGCTGCGTGGAGTTGTGAAGGTGTGCTGGGCAGGGCTACATCAGACCCAGATGGCGGCTGCTCTCTTTCCAGCATGACAGTGACCCTTCCAAAGTGAGTAAAGAGATCAGGCAGGGGATGACGGTGAAGATGGAAAGAACAGGCAAAGGTGAGCTACGCAAACACCTGAGCTGAAGGAGAGGGGATGGAGAGGAGAGGATAGACTGGGCCTGGGTGGGAGTCAGGAGATGGGGGACATTGTGCCTTACTGGGACCCAGAATGGATCGGGACACCAGTGTCTGGGTAGAGAACTCAGAGGGTTTGGTTCAGGGTATGGGAGTTATAGGTATGGGGTGGGGAGCATGTAGATGGGGGTGTCCATTAAGATGACAGCAACCCCCCCCCCC